AAAGCCTCCTTGCTGCTGACTTGCAGAGGCCTCCGGGGGGACCAGACGGTGTTCTGGGCATCCTGTTTCCTTCACACTTTTGTCAGCTGATAGGTGTGCAGAATGACGGCAGAAATGGTTACAAGCTTTTGTGCATTTAGCACACAAACTGTAACATGACCTGGTAATAAAGGTGCCGGAAACCTAGCAAAGTGTTTTGCCCTCCCTGTGATTCGCATAAGCAGTGGGACCCGGCTAATCACACTGAAAACTTAGAGGGCATCACGGCCCCCCTCGTTGAGGACTCAAGTCCATCCGCCTCCAGCTCAGACCGTCATGAAAGGGAGTCTGCTCTCCACAGAACGAGATGTCTTCAAGTTAGTGAGAATCATAGCGATGCCAATCTAGGAAGTACAACCAAAGTGCTAACTTACTGGTTTAAACTTTTAGAAATATAGGGAACGTGAAAGCAAACTCTCTGCCTTGATATACCTATCTATTGATCTAAGTCCAAAAACGCCATAACTTAGTTTTTTTAAAATAACTTGTTTTTATTTTTAATATCGAGATGTATATAGAAAAAAGTGGGTATTGATTCTATCACCAGGAAAACTTCTGCTGACATTTTTAGCAATGAAAAATAAATGACCTTCATGTGGAACATTAAAGCAGAGTGGACAGCTATAAAATAAGCTTTCTCTTTATTCAGTTTTCTTCACCCAAAAAAGTAACAGCTGTTTATTCTTTCCTCTTTCTTGATTATTTTTCCAGAAAAAATAAATGCACATATCAGCATGTGTGTACACATTTACACACACACACACACACACACACACACACACACGCTTAATATAATATTTTAAATCCAGCAATGCCTGGTTGTAACTGCCCATCGGAGGACAGCTTGCTCTGTGCCCGGCACTCCATGCTCTGCCCGAGGATCATTCACTATAAGTACAATAACTCATGAAGTGCATTTTGGTCTTGGGTTCCTATTATCCACTTATCCCCAATTTAACGGAATTCTGCCTCATTTTGGCCCTGATTCCTTTGTGTTTTGCAATGAGTTTACAGTGGGATTCATGATAAAAATAGAAAGGTATAGATAAGCATACAAAGTCTCATCATACTCAGAGACTAAGCAATTATTATGTATGAAAGATTAAAAGGAAACCACCAAAGGAAACAACAGCAAAAGAAATGATTCCTAAATACATACTTACATGTCTTAATACTTAAATTATTTCCATTTTAAACTGTAAACTTGAATATAATGGATTCCATGTGCAACTTATACGTTGTTTACATATTGAAAAGATACATCACAGAGACATTGAAAATCTATAAATGCAATTTATCCATCTATTGACTGAATAGTCACTCTACTCTGGGTGATGCAAAGATAAGACATGGGAATTCTCAAAGAGGTTAGTCTAAGGAGGGAAAAGGATACCAGCAGAAAAACAGCAACTGTACATTATAACGTGGCAAATGTCTAGCTAGCCCTCAAAATAAAGGGCTTTTTGTAGCCTGTAGATTTCCACATCAATGTAGAAACCCTACTTCCTTCCAAGTGACCTCACGGGACAGGATCGTGAGTGGTACAGGATGTTCTGGGCAGGAAAGAGCTGGGATGAGGAGAAAGAGAAAGAGAGGGAGAGTAGAAGGTATATCAAAAAAATTAGGATATACATATAGGTGACCTCAGAGATATTGCGGTCTGGTTCTAGAGCACAGCAATAAAGCAAATGTTGCAATAAAGTGAGTCCCACAAAGTTTTTCATTTCCCAGTGCACATAAAAGTTTTTTTTACACTAGACAGTAGTCTATTAAGTGTGCAATAGCATTATGTCTAAAAAAACAATGTATACACCTTAATTTAACAATACTTTATTGCTAAAAAAAGCTAACCATCATTGGAACCTTCAGAGAGCTGTAATGTTTTTGCAGTAGTGACATCCAAGATCAATAAAATGAAGTTGCTTGGATGCTCCTTTTTGGGGAGTTTGCCTCTCCTTAGGCAAAAGCTGTGCCCTGCTAGATTCAAAAACAAGACTTTGATGTGATTGATCTCTCTAGGAAGACATGTCTTAACTGTGAATTACAATTCCATTAATTCATGCTGAAGGAGTTTTACAAACATACCTCCTTCTTGGGGCAGGAAAGACATGTTTGCTCCATCCTAGAGAGAATGGCTTCTCCCACACTTCATTTCATCGTCCTCGGCAAACATTCATGGAACACGTTTCTGTGCTATCATTCAAGGCACACTGAGGGATGAGACGAGTAAGATGTGCTCTTTGCACCAGGGGATCCACAGTCCAGGAGAAGGAAAGACACGTAAACAATGACCTACATCCGAGGGGCAGGGAAAAGTGGTGGGAGGCCAGCACAATGCCTTGGGGGCTAAAGGAAGATGTCCTTCCAGGGGAGGCTCAGGAATGATCCCAGATCTGCAGCATTTGGACTGAGCTCAGAAGGCTTAGTATCCTTTTGGGATTTGTAACAGCCAAGGACAGCATCAGGGCTCAAAGGGAGCACAGTAAAGGAAATTGAGGTGGGAATGCAGGGCTGCCTGGGCACTGCACGAGGTGTGGTTGGAGGGCAGTGAGACAGGGCAGGCAGATTGACTCACCAGGCATTTTTCTGAAGAAAATACCACCAACCTTATTCATTCCTCTCTGTTCCACCAGCTCGCAGGGAAGGCAGGATGAACTAGCTCTCCACCCACAGCATCCCCCCTCTTAGCTTTGAAAGGTGGTTTCCTGGACTTCCTTTGTGTGCAGGCGTTGAGTGCATAGAAAATCTGACCCCAGATCAGAGAAGACCCAGCTGTGCTCCCCCAGGAGCCTCCAAGGGTTTGGGCCCTGGTGTGATGTTGGGGCAGTGCCGTGGCTCTGGGGATGTCTGCTCCCAGGGGCTGCGTGGGGAGTGGGCTTTAATTGGACAACATTACCTACTAACACTGGTGATTCTGGGCCCCGGACCCTCCAGTTTCCTCACCTGGACAGTTGGGGTAATAATAGTACTACTTCATACAGTCGTTGTTGCAATTTACATGTCATATGTATACAGCAAGCGCTCAGTAAATGTCCATTATCATCCTCGACGTCATCATCTCACAGATAATTACAGGCCTGGGTTTACATCTTGTCTCACCAGCTGTTCTTGGTGTGTGGGGTAGGGGGGAATTTACTCCATGCTGTAAGCTAGAGGTTTCTGATCTTTAAAGAGAAATAATGCCCTCAGAACAGGGGGAGGATTCATAAGTGTAAATGGGAAGTGCCTGGTGAGTGGAACAGCGACTGAATGTGGTAAATACTCCCTAAAAGTTAGATTCGACTCTTCTGCTGAGAAATGAGACCAAGGTGTTCGAAGACTGGGCCCTTTGGAACCTGGTGCCCGCTGAGCGTGTGACCCTCTCATGTCCTGTATCCTGTGATGCAGGGAAGATGTCCTGCCTGTGGGTCACTCCTGCAGCCCCAACCCCTCCCTGCTGGGAGGGCCCAGAGCATCGCAGGGCTGAGCTGACGCCATCGCACCTTTACCCCTGCAGCCCCTGCCCACAGGCCACCTGTGCAGAAGGTGAGTCTGGGAGTCCGGGATTAGATAAAAATGCGCAGCAGGCTGGAAGCTCTTCCCGCGATAGCATGTAGAGCATCTGAGTCCTGTGTCACCTTCACATCTCTGAGTCATGTCGTCCCCAACCTTTGAAAACACCCAACTTTGCAAATACGACAGTAAGTTATAATTTCCCCCTAAAATGCAATAAAACATAACTAAAAATGTAACTGACCTCTTCACATTAGTAATGCTCTTACAAAAAGGGGATAAAGCAATTTATAAAGCCATTAAAATGCTATCCAACCGGAACGCACGCCTAAACCACCCATATTCCCTGTCACTGGTCTCTGTGTGTCTGCGAGGTGGGGCTACCAAGCCCTGTGCTGGAGCCACCAACAAACTCGACAGTCCACATGCAACTTCTCCTAAACCACCCTGTTCTCGCTAAGCCAGACGGTATTGTGATTATATAGCACAAGAATGGAATTATTTTGTAATCAGTTCAATCCTTGAATATGTCCAGTAGCTTTGTTGCAACCAGGCTGCACCAGGGACTAAGGACAGGGGCCCAGCAGGCCTTCACACTCCCATAGGGCACTGCTCTCCTAGGCTTCTGGGGAATAACACCCTCTGGAGGTGTTCGGTGGTCCTGCGCTCCTTAGAGCTTTCACTCTGGGGGGACTGACATAGACATACTACTATAGACTGAGTGTCTGTGTCCCCCCCCCCCAAATTCTTGTGTTGATTCCTGATCCCCAAGGTGATGGTGTCAGGAGGTAATGAGGTCATGAGGGTGGAGCTCCCATGATGGGATCAGTGCCCTTATAATGCAGACCCCAGAGAGCCCCTCATCCCTTCTTCCAGGTGAGGACACAGAGAGAAGATGCCGTCTGTGAACGAGGCAGTGGGTCCTCATCAGATACCAAATCTGCTGCCACCTTGATCTTGGACTTCCAGCCTCCAGAACTGTAAGAAATCAATGTCTGTGTTTATAAGGGCTGGTCTGTGGTATTTGTCACAGCAGCTAGAGCGAACTGAGACAGAAATGAACAGGTGAGGGAACCACAGAGTTCAGGTGAGGCTTTCTGAGAAAGTTAACAGAGGGTTTTTATTGTTTGTTTTTTTTCGGTACGCGGGCCTCTCACTGCTGTGGCCTCTCCCATTGCGGAGCACAGGCTCCAGACGCGCAGGCTCAGCGGCCATGGCTCACGGGCCCAGCCGCTCCGCGGCATGTGGGATCTTCCCGGACCGGGGCACGAACCCGCGTCCCCTGCATTGGCAGGCGGACTCTCAACCACTGCGCCACCAGGG